TTGATGACAACCTTACCGGTTTTCTTTCAAGTTTAAAAGTAAATTAGTTTTCAAAACTCAATATTTTCTATTATACTTTTTCGTATTTGTATTGATATCTAAGTTTCGAACTTTTCAAATTTCTGTTTTTTAATATGTTACCTAAAAGGAACAGAAATGACTGTCTTTGGTCCATTCGTTTCCTGCAAAAATCAACTTTTGCTAGAGTCGCCATCTAGTGGAGGTGCTTTTTTAGTGCTTTCGTTTTTTTTTTAAATACTACCTTATTATGCTACCTTCTATTAATAAAACTTTATGTGGTTTCTTAGTGGTTATAAATGGTTATAAATAAAAGTTTTAATCATTAACTTATACTACTAGCTCAAATAATTTAGAGAAAAAGAATCAACATCAAAAGATATGAAGAATGTAGTTATTGATATTGATATCGATACCGATCGATACCTAGTCTGTATCAAATTAAAAGTTTTAAAATGCCTCACCATCGTTGTCATGTTTATAATTGTCAGAACAGATTTTATACTATTGATAGTCAATAGCAATACTCTGTTGACGGAAAAAAGGAAGCAGGTCCATACGTAAAAAGTGACGCATGTACAAAATTTTGTTGGCAATACCCTTTCTAGATAAATCTCTAACTACATAAAATAATATGGGGATAGTAAAGACAGGGACGCAGCGCCTGTAGAACTTTTTCGTCTAAATCAATCAATCAATCAATTTTATGCTCTCAAGTTTTTGGCAATTCTCAGTACGTGGAATTATATACCTAGTTGAACCATATTCAGGCAATTCCTAATAACCACTAAAGATACGCGTAAGCATATAAATCGCATAAGGCTAGGTCCTTGTTGAAGGTTATTTTATTTTATTATCCTTTTTATTTCATTTACAACTAATCTGTTTTTGTTATTGTTTATGCTCAATGCAGAAAATAGTTATCATTACAATTATATTAGCAACTTTTTCATGTTCATCTTATACGTTTCACTTTATATTTTAATTGTAATTAAGATACAGAAATAATCTGGATAATATTTAAAATATCTTTAAATAGTGTAGTGGATAACATACTTTTTGTTATCGACCTTATGTAATATGGACGTACGGATATACGGTGTACAGTACAGATACCTATGGTATCTTTTACAGGCTCCAGTCTCTCACATTAGGTTTAAATTGAAGTATGTATAATTAAAATGATAATTTAATAATGTATGTGTAATGTATTTAATAGGGTGTTAGTGACCAACCAAGTACCGATACAAATATTTAATTCACAATACTACTTGTTACTCGGTCACAAAGTATCGAGTAAGAACTTGTATTTACTCGTTGCATCCCTAACTATAAATATTATACAGACAAAGTCGCAGGTAAGAGCTAGTTTTTGATAAAGTCAGTATCGATGTTTATCTAACATAAAAGATGATATCGATAATCGCTACACTCATTGTCCTGTACGCCAGTGTTGCCGAGTGTACGGTTTTTGCCGTTTCATACGGCACTCGACCTCTTAAGAATTAAATAGTAGGGTTAGTGTCCAACCGAAACTGTTTTTTACGACCAAAACTAAAACTAATACTCATCATATTTTGAGGAAAAAATAAAGAAAACGTTATCATAATTGTTATCGACGAAGAGGGTGACGAGAAATGGTGTGGGCACAGATGCGAAAATAAACAATTTATCTTCTCAAAACTATATTGTCCACAAAACAAATATACTCGTCAAAGCACGTGACAATCAATAAAGACCATATGTCAATACAAAAACAAAATTAAATAAAAATCAAATATAATAAAAAAACTATAAAAACAAAGACAACGTATAAAAATAGGTCGGTTCAGCTGACGATCCTCAACAATAATTATTCAGTCTTTATTTTTTTATCGACTGCAAAAGAGGGGTTATATTTTTAAATACATTTGTAATTTCTATTATTTATACTTATGATTTATGATAGTAATACTAGTACATTTTTAAATATGAACAAATTCTGAGGAGGAATTGAGAAAATGCATGGTGCCAGAAGAGGTCCAAAATATCTCTATATTGCAAACTTTGCAAAATCTCCATTATGTTTACCAATGGTCAACGCATCACTTGTGAGAATATGCTCTCAAATTGACGTAAATAGTGTTAGCGGTGGCAAAGTTGTTGTTAAGCAACTTTCGCAAGGTTAGTCATGGGATGGGTGACCAAAAAATTATTATCTCGATCTACTTTAGCCTTCGGAAAGAACGTTAAGCTGTCGTTAATACCCTCTAATCCGCATTAGGCCAGAGTGGGGGGTTCAATAAGCCATCCTCCATAACGATCCTTAAGTAAAGCCTGAGCCCATGTTGGGACGTAACAGGGCTGATGACAATAAACTTAAAAATAAAACAAAAACGAGAAAAAATCTGAACGAACATGTGTCCTCATTACTTGTAACAATAAAAGGCATAAAGGTACACGAAAACTGTGTCTCTTTTAAACCTACCCAAGAAAAGGTAACAAATGTCCCTTAAATCAATAAACAAAATGAAGCAAATGTTGATACATATATTGTTTGAGACTATTTGTAGATAAATAAAAAAAAAGACTTAAGGGACTGTATGAGAGGATGAATATCAATAGGTATATGTAACTAATATTAGGTCCTTACATATGAAGAGGCATTTTGTCGTACTGGCCACTTTAATCACAAATCTCTCCTCCTTGGTTGGGAATTTCAAATTCAAATTTATAAAGTCATTTACAAATGTATTTGTGTTTCGTTAGGCGGCATTCATTTCTTTTTTTTTTCTTCTGTTTGTCTTATTTACGTCACAACCCAGTATAAAAAATGGAAAACTTGAAATATCATGTTATTTACGAGTACGAGTTCCACCGTGATACGAGTGGTGTGGAAACGGCTCGAAGGGTTAATGATGTGTATGGCGGTTGAGTCACAAAAGAAAACACAATGCGTTTTTGGTTCCAAGGTTTTCGTTCTGGACATTCCGACCTGCAGAACAAGCCCCGTGGTCGACCGGAGACCCAACCCAGATAGCAATTTAAACTTATTTCCGACTTGCAACAAGTTCGATACATCAAAAAAGAAGACTTGCTTCAAGATTGCCATGACTACTGCAGCAACTTGTAGCAAGTTTAAATCAAACTTTCTAGTTTCAGTGTGACAAACTTGCACTACCTTTGACGTATCAAAGGGAAAAAATCAACTCCGATGGGACAATGCAAATCCCCTTCAAAGATTTGATTGATTCCCGTCCGAATGGTTTTTAGTAAGTGGATCAATGAACCTATGAGATGGCAAAAGTGCATAGATAACAATGGTTTGTACTTTGATTAAATAAATATATCATATTAAAAAATATTCGACTTTTTGTTCCTTCCATACCAAACACCAATTTCATATGTAAGAATGCGTCGCGCCGCACCCGGTGTCGATGGCAGCCGGATCCGGCGTGATAATGCGCGCTCCCTCCTCGCTAGTAACGTAGGTGTAGGTGCAGACAATGAGGAAGTATTTAAAAAAAAAGAAAGCACTAAAAAATCACCACCACTATATTGCGACTCTAGCAAAAGTTGATTGTTGCAGGAAACGAATGGACCAAAGACAGTCGTTTCCGTTCCTTTTAACTAACATATTAAAAAACTGAAATTTAAAATGGTTCGAAACTTAGATATCAATACAAATACGAAATAGAATATGAGTTGCTTATTGAATTTTAAAAAGTAATTTACTTTTAAATTTGAAAGAAAACCGGAAAGGTTGTCATGGAGAAATCAAGAACGTATCGTAGCGATATCTAGTTTGATTTCGGGAACTAATGTTTTTGTTTTAAATACTTCCTCAGTAATAATTCATCATCATCATCAGCCCATTTACGTCCCCACTGCAGGGGCTCAGGCCTTCCTTATGGATGGTTAAGGAGGATGGGCCATGACCCTCCACGCTGGCCCAATGCGGATTGGAGGGTATTAATGACTGCAAATGCAGCCGGGACCAACGGCTTAACGTGCCTTCCGAAGCACGGAGTAGCTCGAGACAATAATTTTTTTGGTCACCCATCTCGTAACCGACCCTTGCGAAAGTTGCTTAACGACTACGATCGCGGGCCGCGGCGCTTATCCACTACGCCACCGAGCTACTACGCCACTCAGTATAATTAATAAAGTAATATCTTAGTATTTTATTTATTCGTGTTAGTACAGTTTGACATATAGGGGTAGAAAACGGAATAAAGGGGAAATTAAAATTAGTTTTCTTAGTACACCCAGAAGCTCCATACAAATGTGCCACTGTCAATATGACGTTATAAGGATTTCTATGGAAAATTGTTACTATATTAAAGGACAGCGGCGCCGTCATTTATTATCTACTGTTTTGTGTAGTACTGTGCCTACTCTTAGTAGGCAAAAATATGATGGCATATTTTTGGCACTTTTTGGAGATGGGTTTGGCAGATTGTTATTAGTATCGTGCAGATTTAACATTTTTAAAACGGTCACCCTGACTGCTCTACTCATTGTTTGTTTGAGCGCAGTTGACAGTTCCGTCCGTCGTCTCATCCTTTTACTCTTTGATCTTGTTTGCTTCCGCCGCCGTATATTTTCCGAAACAGCACGCCTGCTTTGTTGGTGAGTCCAATTTGTCTGTCTCCATGTTTGTTAACAAATTTGATGATAAACGAATCGATACAATCTCTGAGAAGGTATTTTGAGTGAGGTCTTTTTTATATAACTTTTCATTGATTGAATTCATACAAGTGCGTGTTTTTTTGTAGTACATACCTACACACTCTTAACCAGAAATAATTCGCCACGAATTATTTATATTTGAGAACAATAATAGTTGTGTTTGTCTTCATCTACGTAAATCGTTATTAAATTAGTTTTTGTTTAAGTGGTAATCAGTAAATGGTAGAATGTCCGGTATTAAAAAATACCACTGCTATGGCGGCCATTGTTTTTTTTTTATTGCTGACCTCAAATTTTTAAGTAAAATTTTGCAACGTTTTTTCATCACCGTGACATAAACTACTTTACTTTTCTCAGACATGTCAGATAAAGGTAGAGGCAGAGCGCGTGGACGCGCTGGACGCGGCGCTGGCGGTGGAGGCCCAGCACCCCGTAAACCTGGGGAACACCCAGGGCCGTCTGCACAACAGCAGGGTCCAAGGCCGCAGCCCCCATCTGCTTGGGGGCCCCCAACCGTAGCGCCGCCAGTTAGAGCCGGGGTTCCTACACCGAGTGTACAAGCTGGTAGAGCTTCTCATCGCACGACGCCATCCACTCACGATCATCCTGGCGATGTTGATATTCAACAACGAATGCAAAAAATTGATATTGGTAAGATAACATTTAGTAAGAAACTATTTTGTTATAATATTTAAAAAGATTATTATAATCATATAAATTATATGAGCGTGGTATTTGTCTGAATCACAATCCTGGTAATTTTCATGTTTGAATCTAATTCATTATTGGTAGAAGTACATATTTAAAATAAAAATGGGTAATTGAACATAGACGCATTCTGTACTGAGTACTAGTATCTAATCAAGATACTAAAGCAATTCTATAGATGTGTGTTGTTTGTGATTTGAAGAATTGATACTGACAAGTATTGATCCTTTCATTTGGTATTTAATGTAGTATCAATACTTTGATTTGATTTTGGTATGAAGTACTTTCATCTAAGAAAGTGTGATATTGATTCATCTTTAACCCTGCAAATTTATAAATTAATAAACAATTACCACAATTTATTGATGTGAAGAATCTTGTTCGAGCCTGATAATATTGTTGTTATAGTGAGTACACTAGGCTGCTGGCTGCTGGCACATAACAATAATTTTAGCTCACTGGCTGCCAGCGACTTCGTCCGCGTTATCTATTATTTCTTCGCTCCTTATAGTTGCAGCATGATGTTATATAGCCTAAAGCCTTCCTTGATAAATTGTGTATTCAACACAAAAATAATTTTTCAATTCGGACCAGTAGTTTCTGAGATTAGTGTGTTCAAACAAACAAACTTTTCAGCTTTATAATATTAGTATAGATTTTTAATAATGGCATGTTAGATAATTTAACTACTTTGTGTTAGTTGTAGAAAGGCTATACTTTCTGTTTAACTGCAATGATTAAGATATTGTTATGAGAATTTTTGACTATAGTGCTTTGGGGTAACAAATATCGAAAGCAGGGAAATTTTGAAAATGACAAATTACTGCCAAATCATGTATTGTTTTTTATCAATAAAGCTGTCAAATAAAGATTTAATGTCATTTTCAAATCTCCCTGCATTTCCAATTACTCCAAAACACCTTACAAATAAAATTGCCATTTACTGCAAAAATATGTACTAATTTAGGACAAGCTGTATTATTATTAGTCATTTTGGAAATTAATGGAAATTTACACACATAGATTGAAAGACAGATTAACGATTCCTAGGTCTAACAAGTTATTATAGTTTATTAGTTAAACTCTTTAACTATTATAGCAGTTTATTAGTTAAATTATCAAGAAATTCTGAAGGATTCTAATATTAAATCATGTTCAGCCTTTTTGTTGAATAGAATAAACTTTTATTTCTTTATTCTTTATTACAACACATGACAGGTTACAATCATATACATGTTTTAATAAATTATATTATTAAAATAAGACAGACTATATATAACCCAGTAAAATGTGTCTGAAATAAAAGTAACGGTTGGCATTATGTAATCTAAGCAGCCAAATATTATATCACATGAATACATCATTGGCTTAATCTAATCTCAGAATACATTAAATATATTAAAATGATGGAACAATAAAAATAAATCAAACAACAATAAAATAATTGCAACTACTTTAAGAAAAATAAAATGACTTCAATAAAATAATCACAAATTACATTGAATATAACTTATTACATTGAATACAGCTCAAAACAAAACAACAACAAATCACATTAAAAATATATTCAAATTCAATCGATCAAAAACAAAATTAAATTTAATGAATTTCAAATTTATACTAAAACAATAAAAATCAAAAAACTTATGTCACCTTGGTACAATAAAAATGATTATCTATGGCAACACAGAACAAACTATATGAGTTTTTGAAGTTTTTAATAGTATGAACTATTTAAAATTTTCATTTTAGATTAGTGGTTATTAATCAGTAGTCCCTGGAAGCATCCCAAGTGATCCAGGGAGCCTTTCAAAATTTAGCCTTTCAACCTTTTCAACATTCCTTACCTAATGTTCTGAAAATAATTTCTTGACCCATGTATGCCCACTATTTCTTTATTTAGTTTCTTATATGCTCCTTGATTCGAAAACGAAACAGTTTTTGTTGGACTTGTACATTTCACTCTGAAAATGCATCCTACCTCCATCTATTATAATAACAAACTTTTACACCCAGTTGCACAAATGTTCATTGTCATTTGACATTCATCAGAACTTAAAGTCCTCATGCATTCATTGCATTCACAAAAAGACCTATTAGCACCAAACATTCTAAAATTCATAAACGGAGACAGTCAAAATATTCTGATCAATAGCATGGTGGTAAGTTCATTTTCAGTGCTAAGTGCATTGATTGTAAAATTATATGTTTTTTTATTTTAATAACCATGGCTATTTATTATAAAGCTTATTTTATTTTTAAATTGTACAAAAATAATAAAAGAAAAATAATTATTGATTAAAATTTTATGTAAAACTGAAAACAAATTATTAATTTCTACATAGTTCCTTGAAATGTCCCCAACAAGTATGTGTGCTATATGGAGTCACCGTATTTCATGTAGGGAATAGAATAACACCCCTCATATTTTATCATAATCCTAAACCTTATATGCATTACGTTACATAGCTATTAGTAAAATATCATGTTACATTAACAGTAATACATGTCAGCAAATTATGTTTAATGTGAAATTTCTTGGTCTCTTATCATAATTATGTGCAGACTGTTCTCATACTTGGAAACACATTCATTAGTAAAAAAGTTTTAAATTATTTGCATCCTGATATAAGCTTAGTTTTATAATCTAATATTACTTAAGCTTATTATTTCTTGAAATTTATGCAGCATATGTAATGCTTTTTTATAGAACAATCAGACTCACAGTGAAGCATGACAGGGTGTAACTATTATCAATAAATCTACTTCAAAATGCACAAAATGACAACTTTTAATTATCAAAGTGTTTAAATTGTTAAAGTTTATCAAACCCCTAAAATATTCCATGTTACGAAATAAAATGAAAATATCTTTATCCGAGTAAGCTTGTTACAAGCACTTTTGAAACGTCCAAATTTTTTTTTCCCCTACCACTTGTTCAGGACGTCTTTTAGCTGACAAGAAGAACAAGCGAAAGAAACTTACCAGCTGTTTATCATAAGTAATGACATTTACAAAATCATGTCATTACCAAAATAATATGTATTATCACAATAATAAACACAACTTTTAAAGTCTATAGTTTGTACATATAATTATTATAGTCGTTATAGAACAAAGCGAAGGCTATTAATTCCATATTTATTTCTTTAAATATTTCTCTGAGAGATTCGCTAGACCATAAATTATATAGTGGAAGTTTTCTCTTTTTTTATGCAACAAACAAGTATTACAAGCAGAAATAGTACAGACTGAGTGCTATTATAAATTAACTTGTTTTAAAACCAATTAATTAATTATAATAGTTAATGTTTTAAAAAATCAATAATTTATTACTTGTGTCACATGTCATACATTATATAATATTTATATTGTTGTGTTACTTTGTAGTTACTAGAATACTTAACTCATGTTTTATCATAAAAAAAGTAGAATCGTTTAAAACGTAAGTTTCTAACAGGTCAAGGTGCTCAGGCTGGTGCAGCAGGTGATCCGTCAAGCTCTGTGGTTGGTCGTGGCTCCCGTCGAGGTGGCGGCAGAATCTTGCCTGAACAAATGACTATTCTCAGAACACGTCCCACACATATAACCACAAAAAAAGGTATTAAACTATTTCTCATAAAAAACATAGGACATTTAAATGGGAGTATATATTAATATCAAAAGATGGGTGGAGTGGTACTTCGAAAGTATAGTTATTATACAAAGTTCCAAGTGTGTTTTCTGACAACTGTTTGGTATTAGATATATAATTTTTTTGTAGGATCTTCTGGTACTCCAATTGATCTCCTTGCAAACTATTTTACTGTGGAAACAACACCACAGTGGCGTCTGTACCAATATCATGTGGACGTTACACCAGAAGAGGATAGTACTGGTGTACGCAAAGCACTACTTCGTGTGCACAGCAAAACCCTAGGCGGGTAAGTGAATCAATAGTTACAAAATAGTAATATTTGTTCCCACATTCATGCTCATTATATTCTCAATCTATTAAATCTATTAGTGATGCTAAAGTGCTAATCACTGCACTATAGATGAAGTACTTTAAATTTTTCCTTTTTCCAAAGGTAGACAAATAGTTATTTTTTATCTTTAAAAAATATATATAAGGTTAACATGTGGTTTTTATAAACACTCACATACACACAACAGTAATATTTCTTGTTTTTACTCAAATCATAAAATCATAAAAAACAAAGAAATTGTTTTTTATGATTTGATTTTATTAAAAAGAGTCTAGAAAACCATTTCATATGACTGTTTTTTTTTTTACACATTAATTATAATATAATAAATCATTGATTAACAGGTATTTATTTGATGGTACTGTGCTCTACACTGTGAAGAGGCTCCATCCAGACCCAATGGAACTGTATTCAGAACGTAAAACTGATGGTGAACGGATGAGATTGATAGTTAAGGTAAAATTATATAATATAAAAGCATTTGGATCGCATATTAACTAGTGATGCATCGAATTGAGGCTTTGCCTAATTCAACGTCCACTTCTTTAAATAACAATCTTTAGTAAAAGGGACCTTCGATAATTCAGACACTGTTAAACTATAAATTATATTTGATTTCTTATCTTTATTTAATAGGAAGTTTTTAATATTTGTAATAATATTAGGCCAGCACATCTATCTGTGTTTGTAACTAATAAAATTTTATTTATTTTAGCTTGTCCATGATGTGAGTCCAGGAGACTATCATTATATACAAATTTTTAATATCATAATTCGAAAATGCTTCAATCTCTTACAACTGCAACTTGTGGGACGTGATTTCTTTGATCCTGAAGCAAAGGTAACATAATATATTACAATGATTTATATATTATGATACTCTTTCCACTTAATATGACATCATTTTTTATACAACTTCATTTTAGGTTGATATCCCAGACTATAAATTACAAATCTGGCCAGGATACAAAACTACAATCAACCAGTATGAGGATAGATTGTTGATGGTCACTGAAATTGCGCACAAGGTAATATTTTAGTTTATTTTATTTAAGTAATATACCAATCCAATTTCTAATTTCTCACCAATTCCAATTTCTAATACCTAAATTCAATTTCTAATTTAGGTGTTGCGAATGGATACAGTCCTGCAAATGTTGAATGAATATGCCGCTAGCAAACCAAATTACAAGAAAATCTTTTTGGAGGATATTGTTGGTAAATATAAGAATTTACATCATAATAATTAGAGCATATTTTTGCATATAACTCGTTTCAAACGTTAATGAATGTGTATTCTATTAAATTACAGGCAAAATAGTTATGACAGATTATAACAAAAAGACCTATAGGATTGATGATATTTCATGGGATGCCTCTCCTCGTTCGACATTTAAAATGAAGGAAGAGACTATCACCTACATGGACTATTATTATAAGGTAAAATTATTCTGAATAACTCGGTGGCGTAGTGGATAAGCGCCGCGGCCCGCGATAGTAGTCGTTAAGCAACTTTCGCAAAGGTCGGTCACGGGATGGGTGACCAAAAAATTATTATCTCGAGCTACTCCGTTCTTCGGAAGGCACGTTAAGCCGTTGGTCCCGGCTGCATTTGCAGTCGTTAATATCAGCATTGGGCCAGCATGGAGGGGGCATGGCCCATCCTCCTTAACCATCCATAACGAAGGTCTGAGCCCCTGCAGTGGGGACGTAAAAGGGCTGGTGATGAAAATTATTGTAACATGTCATATGGACCAATAAATTAAATGATAATTTATTAAAACTACTTTTTGATGCATAAAGAATCACAAATACTTTTTGATTCATCAAATTGCCTTTTATGAAACTTAAACATCTGCAATTTTTGTTTATAGTATGATCGCAAGTGACTTCATTATGTAATAACTTAGGTGTAATAATCATCAAAAATATTACTATCTTGCAGAAATACAATATTAGAATCCAGGATGTTGGTCAGCCTTTGCTAATATCTCGTTCGAAGCCGCGCGACATCCGCGCCGGCATGCCAGAGTTAGTTTATTTGGTGCCGGAACTATGCAGACAGACTGGTCTCTCGGACGCCATGCGTGCCAACTTCCAACTCATGAAAGCGCTCGATGTTCACACCAAGATCGGTCCTGATGTCCGCATCAAGAAACTGCTCGCCTTTAATCGTCGCCTCACACAGACGCCCGCCGTTGTAGATGTAAGCAACAACTACATTTTTCTCTATGGTTTTGCAATAAGAAGTGATCATTTTATGATAATGTTCTTCATCGTATCATACAATGAATGTTGTTTAGACATGGAATTGTGCATCAGAAAACTCCTTAATTCATGTTACCATGAAATTATGACAGTTATCTTTTTAGTGTTTACAGTGGACAGGAATGGATACAGGGTTAAGTTAAAAAAGCAATTACTAATCTTTCCCAATAGAACCTGGCTAAACGATGTTGAAAAAACCTAAACAGTTGACTACTAAGATATTATACTACTACATTATAATACTCATGATTAATGTAACTGTTAGAAATTTAATGATGAATACGTTTTCAGGAACTGGCAACTTGGTCCCTCAGACTGTCAAACAGTTTAGTAAAATTCAAAGGCCGTCAGCTGCCTAAAGAAAACATCATCCAAGGTAATGATGCAAGATATCCTGCTGGTGACACCACCGAAGGCTGGACAAGGGATATGAGGTATTTTCTTACTAGTTGATTTGTAATAAACAGTATCTTTGTCATATAAATATACTTTACAATTGTGCTTTGGCGGTGACTAAAAATTGTTAAATGTCTCAAAATTTGTTAAAATTTTCCACTCAGGTCTAAAAATCTTCTGTCTATCGCATCATTACAATCATGGGTACTGATAACACCTGAGAGACAGCGTCGTGACGCAGAAGGATTCGTAGATTTTATTATCAAAACAGGAAATGGATGTGGTTTTCGCCTTCCTAAACCTGATGTTGGTAAGTATATAACATATACTTATGTAAAAAAAAATAAATAATAAAAAGCAATTGTATTTTTATTTCCATAATAGTTGCATTATTGCAACTAAAAAGGTGATAAAATTAAGTATATTTGTCTAAGAAAGTTTTTTTATTGTAGTGACGATACCGAGGGATGGACCAATGGATTATGCCAATATGTGTGAAAATGTTATTGCTAGAAAGAATCCAGCAATGATACTTTGTGTACTTGCAAGAAATTTTGCGGACAGGTAATAATAAATTATTGTATAAATTAAATTACTTCTATAAATAAATAAATGCTTTATTGTATTGGATAAAATGTCACTTACATCTAGTTGCACAAACACCCGTTAAAATTATCATTAGTTTAAAGCGACATTACCCATACAAATTTGACATTCATTAAAGCTTAAAAGCGTCATTAAACGTTTGTGCAACTGACCATTAGTTTTGAGATAATTATACATTCAGTGCCAGATTTGATACATAGGTTATTTTTTCTAGATATGAAGCAATTAAAAAGAAATGTACAGTTGACAGAGCTGTACCAACACAGGTTGTGTGCGGTAGAAACCTGACTAGCAAGTCTGCTATGTCCATTGCCACTAAAGTTGCCATACAAATCAATTGTAAGGTGAGTGTTCCTAAGTCTCTTTCTCTATAGTTTATTTCATACTCTGGAACAACTAATTTCATATTCTATATAAACCCATTCAGAGGTATATCAATAAACACGTCGAAAGATTGCAGTGAGCATCAACTCTTTTATTTGACATTTTTAAATAGCTATCAAAGATATTTGCGACTAACCCTTACCTTAGACGATTCTCATTAAAGACATCTTGCATTCAATATCTTCAAAAAAAACGCGATTGCTATCACATGTCACATAGTTGTAATTTGAAATTCTTGAATATCATTCAAATGTCAAATTGGATTGTGACAAATTTTAAAATAAGGCAATAGGGTGTAGACAATGTTTGTTAATATTTTTATTTTATACAACATGTAACAATAATTTTAGATTTTAAAATTAGATAATATTGGTGTCAATGATTTTCTTAAATATTTTTATTTTACACAACGTATAACATTAACACACATCCTGAAAGTATTATTTTTTTTTTTTTGCAAAATTTTATTTATCATCGCCAGCCCTTTTTCGTCCACTGCAGGGGCTCAGGCCTTCCTTATGGATGGTTAAGGAGGATGGCCTATGACCCTCCATGCTGGCCCAATGCGGATTGTAGGGTTTTAACAACTGCAAATGCAGCCGGGATCAACAGCTTAACGTGCCTTCCGAAGTACGGAGTAGCTCGAAATAATAATTTTTTGGTCACCCATCCCGTGACAGACCCTTGCGAAAGTTGCTTAACGACTACGATCAGTAACCATTACAGCTGTAAATGAAAGTAGATATATATGTAATAATAAAAATACACAAATCTATTATATTTGTATAGATTTGTGTATTTTTTTCAATGGCTAATTCATCATCGCCTAGCATAAACTATTAAAGTTTGATCAATGGTCTTTAGTGAGTAGAATTATTTGTGGAGAGAACACTCAATACAAAATATCGATTGCTGTAGTGTGATTATCGGTAATAGTATATTAAATACTACCAGAAAAAAATAATATGTATTTATTTCCGTTTACTCATATTGGCCCACTGAATATGTAGGAAAAAAAATAGATTAATCAAAAAAGTTGTATTAGCCAATTTGATAAAAAAAAAATTACTTTGATAGTTGGGCGGAGCGCCATGGACTGTGGTGATACCGTTGAAGACTATGATGGTGATCGGCTACGACGTGTGTCACGACACGCGTTCGAAGGAGAAGAGTTTCGGAGCGTTTGTTGCTACCCTCAATCAGCCGATGAGCCAATACTACTCCACAGTCAACGCGCACACGTCCGGCGAGGAGCTCAGCGCACATATGGGCTTCAATATAGCGTCCGCTGTCAGAAAGTACCGCGAGAAACACGGTATGTAATATACTACCCACCTTACCTTCAGTTAGGCTCCATCAAATTGAATCTATATTTATCGCTTCGTATTGATTGTAAAATAAACGATATATCAAAGTTTTGACCTTATTATTTGTAGTTTATATTGAAAATGTTTAGTTTAAATATTTTTCTAATTATGATTTTTCTTTTTATAGGAGTATTACCTAGTCCCATCTTTGTATACCGAGATGGTGTTGGTGATGGTCAAATCGCTTATGTCCGTGATTATGAGGTTAGTAATTTTGATGCAGCTTTATAAGTATTAAATATATACAGGAAGATGTTTTTTTTTTATTATTTTTTTTATATTTTTTCTAGACATTAGGTATCCTTGAAAAAACTTTGTACCAACTATTAATCATAACCAATCATTATCGAACTGCAGGTGGCGGAAATCAAGAAGACTTTGAATGAGATCTACCAAGGGCAAGAGTACAAGCTGGCGTTCATCATTGTGTCAAAACGCATCAACACTCGCATTTTCGTGGACACCGGACGAGGTGGAGAGAATCCACGTCCTGGCACTGTGATCGACGACGTCGTCACTCTGCCTGAAAGGTATCTATATCTAGTTGTATAATAGTAGATAGTCATAATACAGTCTATAACATTTATGTATATTGAATTATACTTCTTTACTACTTACGCAACAGAACGAGACATTCATTATAATCATTGGCTACTTGTTTGTTTTGTTTGAAAAGTATTAAACCACTATCAGATTTATTATTCTCCAAAAATTGTTACTGAATAAAAGAAAAACTTTTTATTAATTATTTAAATTGTTCTGCGAAAACAATGAGTCACGTGATATTCAGAGCCATGACGTCATATTTCAAAAAATATGAGTGCTGGTTCCACTCAACATACAACAAAGACATTGACGCTTATTGAAATGTGACTCTGCACAACCTTTTTTCATTGTCGTAATCCACAGGATTACAAGTCGCAAGTTAAATGTTGCAAAAATAAAATATGCCTTGAATTTATTCTAAAACGAAATATAAAGTTATTGTTTATTTTATTTCCAGATACGATTTCTACTTAGTGTCTCAAAATGTCCGCGACGGAACCATTGCGCCCACTTCGTACAACGTAGTTGAAGACACCACTGGGCTTTCGCCTGACCGGGTAAGTTATTGTTGTTAATAAAGTGCCATCCATACGGTAGATGGTCAGAGCTCCGACCAGTTGACCTTGGTAAGTTCGTGCGTGGCCTTGATTGGGGCGTCGAGGTGTGATCACCACACTGGTTCCCAACCAAGGTGTTGCCATTTCGGAGACTAAATAAAAAACAAAAAAATATTTTGTCTTTATTAACTTTACAGTTTAACTTAGGAGATGTGAAATAGTTCAATTTGATTTATTGTTAATTCCCTCCGACGTGACTACATAACAAAGGAAGTCAAATAAAAAGTATAAATTAGTGTTTTATATTCAAAACTTTCTTCATTGAGAGTTTTATAATTAATATTGAAAGTTTAAATGGGTGACTTATTAAAATTAACACATATATAATCAATTTTTATCCCTTCGCGATACCCTAAATTCCGTAATTGTGTGTAATTCTTATGAGGCAACACTCCGATATGGGTACCCTTTGACCAAGGGTGTTGAAGGTCCAAATTATCTTTTGAGTGTATATAATTAAGTTTATAATTTTATTTTATTTATAGATTCAGCTGTTGACCTACAAACTAACCCATCTGTATTTCAACTGTTCATCTCAAGTTCGTGTGCCATCTGTGTGCCAGTACGCGCACAAACTCGCCTTCTTAGCGGCTAACAGCCTACACAACCAGCCTCATCATTCACTCAACGAAACTCTCTACTTCCTTTAAACATATCTTTTAAGTCGTTCATTTAATTTTTGTTAAGTACTTTGCAGTCATTTCCTTTTTTACTAGGTATATAACCTACTTATAATTTGATTTAATTATTGACGCTACCTCACCCTGACATTCAATTACGGGTGTTAGTTTTTAAGAAATAAAGAGTAAGGTACCTAGATTCGAGAAGAACTGGGTTTAATTTGATATTTTTGCATTTATGATGACTGCACATAAACTGGAGGTCGCCAGCCTAACTCAAAGCGATAGAAAAAAGAATGTTTTTTTTTTAAACATTGAACAGGTTGTTTTTGATAATGATCCGTTTTAAGTTTTTTATATATTCAATCAGATATTTTGTTCATTTCAGATTTCTGGATTATTATTAATTATATCAAGTTGTGCTTATTTACACCGGTAAATGGTAAAGTAGTAAGATTAATAATAAAAATTGTATATATAATTATAAAAAAAAAATTATAATAGAATAAATCACTCATAAACCATTCTCTTTTCCCTATCCTTAGCATTGAGTTAGGCAGGCGGCCCTTGGGGTTCGATCGCTTATCTCTCTAGCCATAGGAAACGATATCTCAGAGATCTAATGGCGATATTTCGTTTTATCTTTCTAATGTCGTATCCTATGGCTAGATATTTAGGTGGTCGCATCCCTGATCTAAACTCGGTCCTATCTAGTGGTATTTAGTACTAAAACACTCAGTGATTTACCACCGTTAGATTACTTTTGAATATTTTTTGCGTATAATGAATGAGCCTGGTGCGTATGCAGATCGTAAGATGTGATAATTAGTTAGGGAGTGCTTTTTAGGATCTGATACAGTATCTGATTGTTGTTGAATTTAAGATATTAGTTTTAAGACTGCAAATTAATGCAGAACTGCCAGTTGGCATCTTTTAGTCATAAGATTTCGATATTTTTATAGAAGTCACAATATACGTTTTATACCGAGTAAATTTGCTAGCATAGATAGTCAAAAGATACTAGGAGACTGGGTTTTCAAAAATAACGAGGGTTTTGTGAAATTGCTATAAAAAGTTTATCCAAAATAAGAAAATAATCTATTGATTGATCAATATGTTTTTTGAAAACCATTGATCACATACCTAATTGGTTTAAAATTGTTCACACTACCCCAATGACTATGCTGACATGGCCACTGTAGGAACAAAAGATGACAAAATTATGGCTTATTTTGTATTGTTTTACAATAAACATATTCGTTTTATCATCATTTGTTTCTACATTTTTTGTTATTATTAGATAGTATAAAACATTGAATAACATTGTTATGATAAAAATAAAAGTATTTTCTTAATTTTGGGTTTTAATCTTTATATCATTTACAACAGATAAACATAAGTGTCATCAGGCTTGTTAGTCAAGCTGGTGTGTTTATCTAGTCCCTTATTGTTCGTCATGATAGCAGGCACACCAATGAATTTGAAAATCTAATATGCAGCATATAAATAGTGACGCTATAAATCAGAGGTTCTCAAAACTTATTTCGTTTACTGCCCACTTGGGAATAAATTTTACGCTGGGGGCGTTAAAAATATTTTTTACACCCACTTAAGATCACTGTAACTTTTAATTAAATTCATTATTGTGAGCTAAATTAGCGGAGAATAAAAACCCATTCTGTACGAAACTTACTATAACCCACAAGAATTACTTGAAACCTGAGCGCAGTAAGTAGTAGTACACAAATCTTTTGTTAAGTCTTCTTACAAAAAACCTAAAATCAGAATGGGGGCATTATGTTTTTTAGGTTTCTTAACACCACATTTAAGTCTACAGCGCCCACAAGGAGGCATTATCGCCCACTTTGGAAAAGGCTGCTATAAATAATGAATATATTATTAGCAGACACTAGAAATAGAATTCGTATTGGTTCAAATTAAAAGTCAAAAAATTATAACTAAATTGTGACTTCTATACTATGAATTTACATTTCATTCACTACAATAGAATTCGAGATTTTTCTAATTATTGGTGTGCCTGATAACGTGCCGTTTAAAGTAACTGTAATAACAATAAAACGAGTAGGATTTTGAAGCAATAAATACACAATTTATAATTACTACCTCGCACGTATAAACCCAAAGAATTTTTTACTACTCTTTAAAACTAAGAAACAATTTCATACAAATACAAATCATGGATACTTGCAATCGATTTTAAGCTTTCCTGGTTCCAGGATAATCATAAAAATGGACATAATCGTCAGTAGCTGTACAAGATAATAGATAGCTATATCTATTTTACACAACACTATGTCAATAGAGAATTAGATAAAGCATATTTTTTTAAGGTAAACTGAGATTATAACAACAAACAGAATCTTTACAAACATAACCAGGAAAATCAACTTTTTACTTACCTAAATATTTCGGGAACAAAAAAAATGTGGGGAAACTCCCACCACTTGACAAGACAATGAGGTTATTTTCTTAAGAAACAGCTTGCATATTTTCGGTATTATACGTGGAAATTCTAACTACGTATGTAAAGTTGATATTAAGAAAGTTTTGCTATATATTTTTACAATGAATATAAATGTTGGGGCAAATCGTTAAGAGGAGATCTTACGCGTAGAATTAAAAAAAACTGGGTTAAGTTAAGCCAAACATGTATTCAATGTCTAATTAACAATATCAATAACAATAACTATTCAGTCATTTACCTTATTTTTTATGAAAATAATCATTTTTATGTTTCAACATTAATTAATGTTATACCTATACCTATTAAGTGTAGTAATAATTAAACATCAATTACCAGCTTAAATAACAAATCAGCCTTTATAATTATTATGTTTATTCTTCAATCAAAACAGACTTGTTTGGTAATAATTATGCCACTTATTTAATAATCAAAACATTCATCAGAATCAAAGATTGGACAAGTGTATGCCAAAAACTACAATTTTTTTCTGCATCTAGAATCGGCCCAGTTCTTATAATCTTGACACTGAACCCACTGTTCGCCAGAACATGAGTAAGAGTAGGGGTCATAGCAGACTAGGCAATAATACTCTAAATCTTCATCTTCAGAACTTTCACTGTTTAGTTACAGAACTTTTCATTTGACGGACTTTTCTTTTATTGTGTTCTCTTCGTTTTAGCACTTTGACCTTTTGAAAAAATAAAGAAACTATTAAATTGAGTTTTTTTCTTTATCAGAAATAATTTTAAAACAAGATTTTAGTTCAAACTTTATGTGAAAAAATATGTACCAAATGTACATAGTCAAATATACGGGATATCCTCACGGACATACAAAATTGAGCCTCTCAGGAATCACCAACTAACTCGCCCTGCCTAAGAAAGAACAAAATCTATATTTTTAAAATTTATCATGTTACTAGCTGTGGCCGTGACTTCGTCTGCGTGTAAAGTATTTTGATAGAATTCTTTTTTCCTATGAATGGAGTCGAATCGAACAAGATCAATGGGCCATAACCCACTATGCGGGCTTAATGCGGTCGGTGGGTATTAACGTTGCTGATGCAGCCAGGATTAACGACTTAACTCGCATTATGCCAGTGTTGTGCACAGTGCTCAAGATAATAATGTTTTGGTCACCCATCCTGTGAACGGTCCTTACGAATGTTATTTTTCTATCTTTTTTCTCGTTTCTCGCGCTCTGGTTGTCACTTATGTCTGAGCATTTTTTTCGTACCTTTAAACTATTTGTTTTTGATCTTTTTAAATTATTACTATTTGTCTAATTGTATGCAGAATCGGCTGTTAATTTTTCTATTTTCTATGTAATGCTACGTTACCTGGAAGAAATCGCTGGCTAGCGATGAGTTTGTCGTTTGTACTTAGTTATGTAAAATAATTATTCATGTATCTCCTTGTTGTGCAGTATTTAACTGCAATTTAAACCGAATGCGCTAACCCACTACACCATCGGACCTCTTATTCCTAAGATATACTAATATTATAAAGAGGAAAGATTTGGTTGTTTGTTTGCATCGAATTTGCTCCAAAACTACTGGACCGATAGTTTCAGAGTAATTCCAACCTACGGGAAGCTATATCAGACGCGGATGTCATAGGCTATAATTTAGCGGTAAAGTCGTGGAAAAACAGCTAGTTCAGTATACCCTGTGAAAACTTATCTGCGGTACGCCTGTGGAGTAAGTATGGAGGCAACACGGGTTTGCGATAATCGAAACTACTTTCTCGATCTCTATTGTGCAAACTGCGATCTCTTTCAGAGACCAAGCGCATTTCTCTATCAAAGGAAGTTTCATACTCATGCCATACTGCATGTATGTTACGATCAGCAGTTAGACGCGCTATGCGATCTTTAGAAATTTCCTGAGATCAAACGCTTGTTGCATGAGTTCTCTGAGAGCTCAAAAGATTGTCTCTGACGGTAAATGCTTCAAATTCAACGTTATAGTGCATGAGCCTCGCAATGGGCAGTTAAATGCGCTTCTCGTTTTGCAGGTGTCTCCCGAGACCGAGCGCTTTCCGTCCGATCTCTTTCTTTATCAATAAAATTCTTCAATAAAATTTCGGTCTGTACACGCCTGACGGAAGATACGTGGAGTTTTATTTATTGATAAAAACATATATACATATTTTAATTTCGACTTTCAACACGCGAATGAAATCGTCTACTATAACATATACTTGCGAGAGGTGCTTAACTGAGCTTCCGTCAGATTTGAACGGCCCTCATCATCAGCACCATCATCATTAGCAATTTTATTTATTTGTAAAATATCGATAAACAAATAGGTAAAAATTAATACACAGATATAATGTACAAAACCATTTCCTAAATGCCATTGCTGTGCCTGCTTTATTTCTTTAAGAATGCTCCCTTCTATTTTTTATTTGAAAAGACTTAACAAAAACGTACACCTTAGACTTTTATATAGTACATTTGAACAAAGCTTTTCCAACAATGGAACGTAAACGTGAAATCGATCGCGTTGTTTACGTGTACCGCAACATGGCAACGCGCCAGTCGGAAAACTGCTGAAAACATTAAACGACAGGAACTCCCCTGGATACGGAAATCATGGAAGATGATAAGGGAAAGGACGACACTGAGGACTGGAAGGTGTATGAAGCGCTGTGTAGCAAAACACCAACAGAAGTACGTACCTACCAACGTTATTTAAACTAGCTGTTCCCGCGACTTCAAAGGCAAAGTCAAAATATGTTTATTGAAATGAACTTCTTTAAAGTACTTTTGAATAGTCTGATTTTTTTCTCCTTACTGCTCGTTCAATGCTATATAAAAATGTATATACTTACAACTGTAAAATATCATTCTGTGTATCGTCTCCATTTTTATGATTGAGATTTCTTGAAAAATAAAAACGCTTCACGGGGCGCATTCTTAATTTTTTCTTGACATAGTTTTTTATATTACATTAGGAGCTACTTGCTGAATATCTTTTCCGTGTTCATAATTAGTAGCTCTTTTTTTTTCAAAGAAAAATCTAAACGTTATATTTAATAATTATTAAATATTTATTTGTTATTTTTATACTAAATATTTTTAATAAAATACTACATAACAATAATTAATAATCAATGTTCTTAAGTAATACTTATATTATAAAAAGGAAGTATTTTTTTATTTGTATGTATGTTTGTTTGCATCGAATAGGCTCCGAAACTACTGGACCTATTTTAAAAAAATATTTAGGGATTGATATAGTCTATAATTAACGAGTGTGAAATGGCGGGACAACAGCTAGTTTAGGTATATAAATAAAAAATATATGAATGTTGTTGTATAATGTTGCTAATAAATTTTTATCGTGTTCAAGCCTTTTCGATTGATTTAAGGTCTATACCTTAATAATATAAATTTTTTTTATAACTACATTAATGTGACATATATATTCGTGATAACGTTTATTTAAACATCCTACCTAATTTTTTTTCTGTAGGCCGTGGGTATAGATTTCATACTATGCTACCCAATGACCTTTTCAATTCAGAAATCGGGTGTAAGAACAATTGGTCAGCTAAGTGGGATCTAACGATACCTCAATTATGGATTTGTGATAACGAAGAATATAACATAAATACAAGATATAAGGCAAAGACAAAGTCAAAATAGTCAAAAGTACTTTTCAATTGCCCAACATTTTGCTGATAAGAAGAACGAGCACGAAACTCACCAGCTCTAATAGGAGTAACGACTTTTACAAAAACCATGTCACTACCAGATTAATACATTATAAATAGAGAAAGAGAGAAAAAAAAACTAATGATAACATAATAATTTAATAATAATGGAAGCAAGATAATTTTTGATATATAATGAGTTAAGAAGTAATCACCTATCCAGTTGCTGGATCATCTCAAGTCCAAGCATTCTTATCTATTATATAATCGGATACCTTATAATAAGCTTTTTTATTTTACTTTACATCACTTTTTCTAGAAAACAAACCAATACTTTTACGAACGTACATTAAGTTCACGTATATGTGTTGAGAAGCAACAGTCATTATGTCAATTTCCTAATTGTCTAATTTTATGTCAAAATAAATTGATCTAATTGCTCTTTTCTGAAGCACAAAAATCGTTTGTATGTTGGCAGCATTTCCCCACAATAGGATTCCGTACGACATCACACTATGAAAGTAACTGAAGTATACTAATCTGGCAGTATCTGTGTATGTCACTTAACCTACGTATCTTCATTACGGCATATGCTACAGAGCTAAGTCTACTCTACAATTTATCAATATGTGGGCCCCACTATGGTTTAGAATCTAATGTTATTCCTAAAAATACGAGGCATATACTATTATCTTTTATATTAACATTTATATCTACTTTTTTAACATAAGGTAGTACAAATTTTAGGCATTTTGTTTTTCTTTCATTAATTGTAATAGAAGATTATTTACATTAAACCAATGTATAACTTTAGCGATAGAATTGTTCACATCGTCATTTAGAGGTAGCCCTTTTTTAATTTTAAACAAAAGTGTAGTGTCATCCGCAAACAAAACTAAGTAAGAAAGGACTAAGCATTGAGCCCTGTGGAACACCCATCTTAACTTTCGGTTCAGGGTATCTTTTGGCATTGATATCAACCCTCTGCAATCTGTCAGTCAAGTATGATACAATAAAATCCAATGAGTAAAATCTAAATCCATAATATTGAAGTTTCTTAATCAATGTTTCATGAAAAACATAATTAAATGGCTTAGATAGGTCGCAGAAAACACCTTACGCATCATGTGAACCTTCCCAGGCATAAAAAATGTCTTGTATTAACTCGACACTGGCTTCGGTTATTGAGCGACCCCTTGTGAAACCAAATTGTTGTCGATCGTTGAGAGACCTAGCCACAAACGTGCATTTATGCGGAAAGCTAACTATTTGTCCAAAATGATCTGACGGTAGTTGTTTAATTATCTGTTTTGAAAGTAGTATCAGATCTGTAAAAATGTTCTCAATACATGTGGACGAAGTAGCAGTTACTCTACTTAGACATGTTTCCACCATTGTGTACATATTTATAATCATTTAGAAGACTACAATTTTTTGGGTCTTTATATGAGTACATATATAATATCAAAATACTTGTATCTATATCGTTGACCTTGACTGTACCTTGTAGATGATACATGGTAATAATCCCGTAAAAAAAAACGATCTTACTACTTCATTCAAATTCTTGTCTATTGGTTAAATATATTGGATAAAGTTATGTTGTTCTTAAGTAATTACTTCTCTCGACTATTGCCTTGTGACGGGTTCGATGCTGAGGCAAAAGGCTGACTAATCTTGAGAAATTGATACATTAAGGGTTAAAAAAATCCCGTTTCTGGGTTTTCGTAATAGGTAGAACTTAGTAGATATTTCACGAAGATATGCGTATACATGTTTCCAATTTAAATAATAATAATTCATATTGGATTTATAAGATTAAATATAATAAATAATATGATTAAATAATCATGTTCCCGCGGAATTAATTTTTCAAACTAACATTCATAAAGAGCATATTGGATTACTCAAAATTTCAAATTACGAAAGGTGAAATATAAAGATAAATGATGTTGAAGATCAAAGACAAAAAGTTTGCATGCGGAAACCTAGGACGAAATAAACGGTGGTACGGTACAGCCTGAACATTGGAAAGACCTATCCAACGATGCCCCACACTATGGAGAAGTCTAAAAGCAATTATCATCCCCACTTTACTTGTAGTGGCGGTACTCTAAAATTTTTTCGAAATTTTACTTTACCACTTTATCGGCATAATTAACGTGTATATTGATGCCAGTATCAATAGTTTTTGAGCTAAACCGCGGACGTACGGACAGACGGACGAATAGACAGACATGGCGAAACTATAAGTAATTGATTACTACGGAACCCTAAATAATAATAATAATAATGTCTTTATTTGCAATAAATAGGATTATATATACAGTGATGATATTTAAGTTTAAGAGCTTTGACCTATTTAATAAAATTGATGTAACTTAAAATATTTCTATGTATATTCAAATCAAATCAAATTTAAAAATAAGTCTTCATCGATCATTTAGAAAATTAACTATTATAAACGAAAAATAATTATAATTCTAAGATATATAAAAAAAAAATCGATTAATACGTAGTCTAATTAATAATTGTCAACCCTTCAATTTATCTACCTACATAAACGAAAAAAAATATAGTTCACATCGCTCTTTAAAACTACGTAGTTTCTATTCATTTCTTACTGACAGGGACTCCTTGGGGTAATCTCGTACCTCGTACGGATTTCTCTGAATTCTATACTCGTAACTATATTAGACTGGTGACATATCTTATTAAATTAGGGCGCATTCATTGGTAAAAAGGTCAATGAAAGGTTGCTTTGGGTAACGAACACAGCAACCTTGTTATCTTCCCGACCCGGTAAACGATACCGTGATTGGATGGCCCGTATCGTAGCCTCATGTAAATTATCCACAGACAGGTACCGACTGTGAGCATCGGGATATCGTTACGTGACTCTTCGCGAGCTTGAAATAGCGAGCCCCATCACGCTATGTTCTAAACATGGGGTATTTACGTTCAGTAGTCGACTTTTGCACGCCACGTTGCACTGTTTCTTCCCACAAAGAGTTTTCTGAAAAATAAAAGATGTATTTTTGTAAGTTCCAATATTAGTAAATTAATTGGTAGATAGACTTGTGTTACTTAACGTTTCTGTTGCTAGTATTTATACAGGCAGTAGTACGTCTTAGATTTATCGAAATATGAGAACTAGTTGCAAATAAGGATTGCTTTTGGAGTATCAAGATTAAAAAGAAAATTTGCACATATTACAGATGGAAGCGGACACTGGTAATGATTTAGTCACTGCACTAAGAAGTGACTTAGCTGCACTCCAATATAAGAGAGAAAAATTAATATCTGAGGTATGTTATGTAGACTAATGATTTTGCAGTCATCATCATCATCAGCCTTTTTACGTCCCCACTCCAGGGGCTCAGGCCTTCCTTATGGTGGTTAAGGGGGACTGGCCTTGAACCTCCACGGTGGCCCAGTACGGATTCGAGGGTATTAACGACTGCACATGCAGCCCAGCAACGGCTTACCTTGCCTTCCGAAGCATTTTTTTTGTCACCCAACCCGTGATCGACCCTTGTGAAAGTTGCTTAATCAATTTTGATCACGGGCCGCGGCGCTTATCCACTACGCCACCGAGCTATTTAATAATAATTTGCAGTGATTGTTTTAAAATCAAGGATGCCTAAATCTTAGCATACATTTGAAATTTGATAAAATTTCGTTATGATTTCATGCCCTTCACAGAATAGCGATTTGAAAAACCAAATGCTCTCAAGAGACCAGAGGATTTTAGAGCAGCAGGTGGAAATAGACCACCTGCGTGAACAAAATGCTCGACAAAATGCAATTATATCATCTCTCAAAAAGAAAATTCAAGATCTCGAAGAAATTAATCGAAACCTACAAACTACACAGGGTAGAACTGATTTAACAGTACAAACGTTACAAAGAGACAATCGTTATAGTGAAGAAAAAATAAAAGATCTAGAGAAAAAACTTCGCGCATTAGAATTAGAATGTCATAATGAAGAACAACAAAAGGAGAATGCTAGATGTCAGTTCCATGACCTGGTGCGACGTCTGTCTGCAGCGTTAGATTCAGATTTTTGTGACACCACTCATACGCATTCTCCAGAAAGTCTCATTATAAAAGCAGCTGAATTGGTTCAAGAGATTACCAGACTTAAAAATAAATGTATGAATACCACAGAAAATTTATCAACAGTGGAGCAAGATTTCAGAAGCTGTCGTGATGCGTTGGAGAGAGCGAATGCTGATAAAGACATGCTTCAACGGCAGTTATCTTCTCAGATCCTCGAAACGGAAAGACTTAAACAGGAGAAGGAATCTTTATCTGTACAAAATAGAGTTATAGAACGTGAGCTGCACGAAGCTAGAGAAAAGCTCTCTCACTGTACCAAAAACCTTAATGTAGTCACAGATAATGTGAATCAAAACGAATCTCTAATTGTGCAATTGAAAGGTAAAGTAAAACAACTCATCTGGTGTTTGTTTTCTATTGAATCTCATTGTGTTTTATTATATAATATTACTTTGTTTTCCTAGAGGATTTGAGGCACCGCGAGGAAAAATATCAAAGGCTACAAACAGAATTCCGCGGTACTCTGGAATCAATAGCAATTCTTCTTAGCTTGCCTACGAGATTTGTAGAAGCCCACGAAAGCACTATAAAAGACAGAATTCGTGAAATATTGAGCGATAATAAAGATAAATCTGTAGTAAGTAAACATAATTATATTCATATAAATATTTGACAGCTCTTGAATAAATTGATTTCAGCAATTTGAAACTAAAAAAATATAACAAAAATTAATACTACACAGCGACACCGACATCTCTCAGTTTCCAAAATAAATAGCTAATATCTTCGTACGGTAAATATATCTGAAACAACGAATGCAACACAACACTCAGACTCGACCTAAAACAATTTACTTTCTACCATAAAATGTCCATAATATTAATCATTTCAGCTGATTCCTTGATACCAAATTATAGATTGATAAAATTTCCTATAACAGCAAATCGAGGCATTACGAGACAAATTGAATATGGAGTCGCAACAATTAGGCAGAACTGCACACCTACACGACCAGGCCACCACACGAGTCCGAGTTTTAGAAGATGAAAGGAACATGCTGGAAGCTAAAGTCCACAAACTCGAGTCTGAACTCAATGCTGTAGAACTTTCAAGAGATAGTTTACGCAAAGATAAGGCTAATGTAATCATCATCATTTTTATATTCTTTTATTTAATGATAAAGGTATTTTCATCTTAATTGAAAACTTAATTTTTTTTTTGTAGTTTCTTATTAGAAGACCATTAGGTCCTGTAGGTAAACGTTGATGACGGATAGATACCCGAATTATTTTTTTCATGCAAATTATCTAAGGCAAAGACCGCAAAAAACAGAAACAATACGAGGGTCAAACTGAAAGTTCTTAGAAAATCAAAAACTGATTACATTAGCCAGTTATTAGTTTTATTATATCTTTTCAAAATATTGTCCATTCACGTCAATACACCGCTGCATGCGATGGAACCACTGGAAAAAGCACTTTGCCCACTCGTCCTTAGGGGTCTCTTCAATGGCATCGCGATACGCAGCCACCGCTTCTTCAGCATTCATAAACCGCTTTCCTTTAAGTTTTTCTTTAATTTTTGGAAATAAATAAAAATCACAAGGCGCGAGGTCGGGGCTATACGGCGGGTGACCCAGTAATTCAACGTTTGATGTCGCCAAATAGTCGATCGTTCGCTTGGCGGTGTGCGACGAGGCGTTGTCGTGGTGAAGGAGGATCCTACTGCGAGGTCGTTTCTCTCGAACTTTTTCCAAGACAAGTGGCAAACAATTGGTAGTGTACCATTCTGCAGAAACTGTTTTTTGATCCTCTAATACAATTGTTGCAAAATGACCTATCCTTCCAAAGAACGAGGCCACCATTTTTTTTCCCGCACTTCGATCTCTCTTCACTTTAGTTGGCAACTCCTCGAAAGGAAACACCCACTGAGCAGATTGTCTTTTGGTTTTAGGATCATAACAGTAAATCCAGCTTTCGTCACCTGTTAGTACGTCGAACACAGCATTTGAGTCACCTCCGTTAAATCTTTCAATCATTTTACGACACCAATCCACACGATGGAGTTTTTGAGCCTCAGTCAAATTATGAGGTATCCACCGGGCGCAAAGCTTCCTGACCGCTAAATGTTCGTGGAGGATTTTGTGCACTTGACTCATACCGATGCCTAAGCTTGTCCGAATCTGTTGATAGGTCACTCTTTTGTCAGTCTCTATCATACGCCGCACAACACAGATGTTATCTTCAGTCGTCGCCGTAGAAGGCCGTCCCTCACGTAAATCATCAGTGAGATTAGTGCGACCACGTTTAAACTCATTAAACCAGTTGTAAACAGTCGCACGAGATGGGGCTTCATCGTGAAAGGCCAATCGTAGTCTATCATAACTTTCTTGTTGACTTAAATGACATCGAAAGTCATAAAAAATCATTGCACGAAAATTTTCTCGTGTTAAATTCATGATGACGTGACACAGACAATTTTCAATTTGCCGCCAAATCGTAAAACAAATGACAAATGAATGAAATATATACTCAGTAATATTGGCAAAGAGTTATATTTTCAAATTTTAGAATTATTTTTTTATTATATTGTTTATAAGTGGCCAGTTCTAAGAACTTTCAGTTTGACCCTCGTATTTAAAAACGCATTTCAATTCATAAACACTTTTCAACAGGTTGACCGCGTGTAATTTGTAATTCCAACAGTATTTTTAATGGATTAATTTAAATGTCTAGTTAAAATTATGATGTGCCGACCCTATATATATATATATTTTTTATTTTTTTTTAATGCCCGGCCTAACATTTTTGGCCGAGCCCTACACTGCACCCCACTTTTTAGCAGGCCTTTATTAATAGCTACCTTCTCTTTCATTCCAGTTCTATCTCTTATACTACTTTCATTCTTCATTCCTTGTCTTTCTTTTATTCTATTCCTCATTTACTCCTCGAGCGACCAGGGCCGTACCCGACCCTATATTCAAAATATAATCGATAAACAAAGAACTTTATATTAAAAAATATTTGTACATATCCCGTTGTCGGACAAAGATAAGCAACGCTTTGCTCTGAATATTAGAAAAATAACTTATCAAAAGTATAACGAATAAAACACTTATCGAAACTAACACTTTATTGTGTTCTAACGATATTTAATTATTTTTATTTTTATCTAGAGACACTATTGCAGAAATATAGAGGGACAACCAGCTTAACTGAATTACTAATTAGATCTGCCTTTCAACAATTTGGCAGCAATATTTATATGAGTGACCTTTTGATAAGTTATTTTTTTGTAAGATTTAGAGCAACGTCGTTGCTTATCGTTGACTGACAAATAGATATGTAAAAGTTTGTACGTTTGTGCTAGGCGGTACTATTTAGAATATAGGGTTGGTACATAACAATGTAGCGCATTAGTCCTAAATTATAGTTAAAACTGCAGCTGAAATTATATTAAATCGGCATCGGTGACACGTGAGACGGGGCTAATGAAATCAGCCCCATTTTAAATAGATAAAACTGATCCCTTAACCCAAACTTGGTGACACGCGGCGCAGTCTAGATATATTTCCAGCTCAAGTTTATATACGTTAACATTTGCTGATTGATAAATTTCGTGTTGATTGATGGATTATTGATTATAGTTCGTGGCATTCCTGGAACGGCTGAGTCGTACTCTGAATATGGACGAGTTAACCCATGATATAGGCATTGAGCTTCACACGGAATCAATCTTGCATCGAGCTGAACAACTAGCCCGACTCGAGAGCGATAAAATCGTAGATAAGGTTAGCAAAATTTTTAATTCTGTATCAAAATTATTATACCTATAGTTTATTAATTCGTCAAATATTCTAGTCCTAATATATACGTAGAACTATAAACGATTCTGCAATGTCTACTGTTATATTATCTCAAATAACAAATTTCAATATTTCATTTACTTATCTACGTTCTTGTTCTAGATAATATAAAACTAGAACATTATGATGTATTGTTTGTCGTATTTAATTCAAGTGCATTTAAAAAAATACGGATAATAAAAACAAACCAACTATTATAGGTAGGTATATTGTTATTTCCTGGATCAAATAATAATTACTAGACTTGAAATAGAATAACGTAGACTACCGAGAATTAGAGATTATAGGTATAAGCACAGATACTGACCTATCCTTATGAACTAAGCAAAACTTTTTAAGCTACATATCAAGGACTCTTGGATCGGATCATAATTAGATGTCTACCAATATACCAATGGTGCATTATAATTTGATCTTTTTAATATTCATCTCGCTGATACTATAAATTTCGATTTTGTTGTTTACCACCCAAGTTTTATAGTTAATTTATTCGCTTGTCATCGTAAAGGTGAGTTTTTAATGACACAAAAAAGAACAACCTGTGTATAAACGTGAGTATTGTGTGCGTCTTGCGTTAATACGTGTGTGTGTTTTCTGTAGATGCTATATTATGGATACTACGGCACGCTGCCGAGACTGCGAAGGGAAAGATCTTTCCATGACTTGCCTTATCTTAAAGAAGTAAGATATCACAATAAATTGGCATGTAAAAATTCATAGGCAACTTTTTAAGCGATTAACCATCCGCAAATTAGTTTGTTATTGGCACTTAACGCTCCGCAGTCGTAATGTGAGTTTTGTTACGATAATCTTTTTATCATGCTTCTATATAATTAACTTGGCATTTGGATTGGAAACTCACACTTATATCACTTTAATTAGAGCCATTGTTTAATGAACCACTTCTAAGTTGTATTTTAAATATTATTGTTAATTCAAATGTTAAAAAGCAAAAGTATGTAGGTGTAGTCACAATAACTATATTATATTTAAGTAATTTAACGAATCATTTCCACGTCATGCCGCGTAGTTTTATTGGATTAGTCATATTTGAAAGATAATATGTATTAACTTTAAGCACGCATGCAGCTTTGTGGACCATGGGTAAGATAGTGATCACGTTTCATCAGTCTTCTTAAACAGGAGGGCTTACTGCGAACTTTTTGTATACGTAGGTACTTGTAATACTATATCTATTGTCATTAATGTAATTACTCAGTATCGCTTTATTATACGTTATTACATTAAACAGCACATGCGACTAAATCTTACGAACTAGTCGATTCGTACTAATGTAAACTTCACTTTAATTCGCCATAAATTTCTTGCCTAATTTGCAGACAGCTGTGGTCTACCAGCTGCAACGCAGAATCAGAATTTTAAGAGAGCAGCTGCAAAGGAAGGATCTCCATTTAGATTTACTACGACGTAAACTAAGTATACAAGTAAGCAGTTTTCATTGTCAATTTAAAACGACTTTTACCGCACATTAATGATTTCTGATCATCTACCTTTCATTCTTTACATTTGGAATATATTTATCTATATAAATATCTTAAAAGATAAATTAATATGTTATTAGGATGAAAGCTCCCGTGTCCGCGCTGTGTTGCAAGCTGAGCGTGATGAAGCAGTATGCAGGAGTAAAAAGTTGGCGCGTCAATGTGATAAGCTGAATATGCAGCTGACTGACGCACGCGCACAGCTACGGGACTTGAACGCGCAGCTCGCAGACGCGGCCGAGTACAAGGTATTATACAAATAAATAAATATACCCGCCCCGCGCCGTGCGGATCTTTTGCATATAGAGCAGATGACCAGGGGGCCAATTCTACTAAATAAATTTTGTTTAAATCAAATCTAAAACGGATCGAAAACTAAAATAAAACTGGAATTGTATCGTATGTCACTTTGTAGAATGGGAAAACCATTAAAAACTATAGTTTCGTTCGGAATTGGCCCCCAGGTTTTGATCGTTATAAGAGTTTGGCACAACACATGTATCAATGGTGTTAGTTTTCTCATAAATCAACATTTTCTTTTCTTCTCTTTTAAAACTTTCACTATATTGAATATTTTTATTTGTATTAATTTGTATCTATACTAATGTTTTAAAGAGATTGATTATTTGTTAGTTTGCAACTAATAGATTCCGAAACTAATGGACCGATTTTAAAAATTCTTTTACCTACGAGAAGGTACATCATATGCGGTGAACATAGGCTATATTTTATCTCGAAAAACAACATATAAAGGGATGAAAATGAGAGTGAAATTTGTATAGAGGATTAAAACGTTACCATAGCAACCTTTGTCTACTATTCAATTTGTCATTGTAATTATATCCGTGTCATCGTGTCATGATATGAATCGATACCCAATAAGTAAACCCTAGAGACCAACGCGGGCGAAGCCGCTGGCCGAAAACTAGTATGTAATATTTTTAGTGCTACCTATTATACAAAAATTATGAATATCACTAAATAGCCTGAAATAAGAATAAAAAAAAATGGAACGGAGTTCAGAATTTTAAAAAGTTATAAATAATACTTATATTAAAAGCGACTTATTCAAGAAAATACCATTGAAGTCTATCATTTATTTAATAAATCTACATAAGAACTCCACCAGACTTCAATGGCATTTTCATGCACAAATCGCTTTTGTAATAAGTATAATTTACCACTTTTTTAAAGTTTAAATCGGTTCCATTTATTTATTTATTTTTTTAGCTTATTAGGATTCATTGGCATTTAAAAGTCTATAATTCTACGGATTTCAAATAAAAAGAATGAATGATTTCTCCATAATTTACTCGATTAAATTTTACCCACAAAAAAAATATATTCGAACTTATCAAATCCTTTGCAACAAAACACTGTCGTCTTAATATCGTTTTTTACTCAGCGCTGTTTCACTTTAAGCATGAAGAATGCAAACAAAGAGTGGTACAGATATCATTAAAATGTGCAAGTTATATACCTGACAGATATTGAACGCTTTACTTAGAATCTGCCGACATCAGAAAATTCATTATAATAAAAGGAAACGGAACGCATCGGGCGCAAGTCAAGCGGATGACGATGCGGAACGTATTCCTAATGATTGGATCACGATTTGCTTAGTCAGCTAGTATGCTCGCTTGATACCGAACGCAACATTTTCTTTTGCTATTCCGAATACAAAAAAGCAGAGCTTTATTTTTAATTACAAACAAGTTGTTCTAGTAATTCAATGAGAAAATATTTAAAAAAGTAGTTCTCCAAAACCAAACTAGATGACGCTACGTACTATGAAATATTTGTATCAAATCCTCTATGTCTATACTAATAATAAAGCTGGAGAGCTTGTTTGTTTGTTTGAACTCTAAATCTCAGGAACTACTGGAAAGAATTGAATTATTGTTTATGTGTTGAATATTCCACTTATAGAGGAAGGCTATATAACATCACGCTATGACTTATAGGAGTGAAGAAGCAATGAAAAATGTTACAAAAACAGGAGAATATTTTTAAAGCTGTCCTTGCATGCGCTGCGGTGAATGTTACGCAAAAATCATGTATTACAAAATTGATCCCCTTTAAAGATCTAAAGTCCGCAGCACTATATTTCTAATCTTGTATCTCATTCCGAAAAAAGCACATAAAGGGGTTGAAAATAGGAGTGACAGTTCGTATAGGGCATTTAATCGTTACCATAGTAACCATTGTTTACAATTCAGTATGTCATTTTATTTATATTCCCCGTCATCCTTTTCCAAATCCATTATTAAACGATTTAAGCTGTTTACGCAGGATTAAATAATGTTTTGAATAATTTCAATCGTTACAAGAAGCTTTCGTTTTTAATTTTGGGGTAATTCCAATAACATAATTTAGAGAATGAGAATTAGTTTTATTTCTAATTTCCCATTCCCCAACTAATAGTTGAACATTAATTTATCTTTTGTGCTTAAATAATGGGAAATACTAAAAATAGCTTTTTTAATGAATACACGTGTTTTATTTGCATAATAATCGCCCTAAAAAACCAGCCAAATGTGAGTTAACTCGTGCAAGAATGGTTCCGTACCGAAAATTAACAAAAAACTCATGTTTGTTGTATGGGCGCCCCCTTAAAGATATATTATATTCTTTTTTTAGTATTTGTTGTTAAAGCAGCAATAGAACTACATCATCTATGAAAATCTCAACTGTCTAATTATCACGGTTCATGAAATACAACCATATACAAAAAATCACGTTTGTTGTATAGGAGACCTCTTAAATATTTATTTTATTTTAAAGCGGCGCCAGAAATGCATCATCTGTGAATAATTCAACTGTTTAATTTTCACGTTTCATGAGATACAGCCTGGTGACAGTCAGACAGACAGCGAAGACTTAGTAACATAATAGGGTTGTCGTTTTACCCTTTGGGGCCATCCGTTAATCGTTAATAATGTGATGCCTTTTCAGCATTTATTAGCCCCATGGTGATACATAGTGAGGTTTAAGATTACCACTCCACCCTCCACCCAAAACAAGTGTAATTTTTGGTGCCTACAAAAATCTTAATTTTTCAATGCCACTTTTTGGTTTAGTAATTGCTCATTTGTGATATTTCGTGATTTTTGATGAATCTCCCCCTTTCAAACCTCACGTGATTGATGGACGGCCCCTTTAAGTACGGAAATCCAAAAAAAATTTACGATGCTGCTGAAATTCACAATTTCACGTGGACGATGTCGCGGGTACAGCTAGTCTTTGATATGTGCCGGAAAGTGTGATGATCAGTTTGGAACGAAAATTACACTGTCGTCCTTTCTATTATATATTTCCAGTCAATTAACATATATAGTGTCATTAATTTTTGTAGTTTCTTATTTATTTTATAAAAACAAAACTTTGCCATATATATTTATCAAAATAGGCTTAGATATATAATTATAGAACCATATATGTGATATAAATGAAATATCAAAAAATAATGCATATTTCCAAGGAAACACTAGAATTTTGTTTAAGTGATCTTAAGAAACCTAACATCAAAAAAAATCAGCAAGTTAATATGAAAATAATGTTTGTCTTTAATAAACAATGCGATATAATCGCCTCTTTTCTGAAAGGCATCTGTTAATTATTAAAAAAAAAATCGTGTGAAATACAAAACTATAAAATCGAAATCAGACATCAAACTACGTTATGAAATAAGAAAAAAATAAACATAAAGCATAGCACATAAGGTCGTTCAGCACGTGGACACGCACATTTAACTTCACTGAAGTTTTATAAATTCCTCAACAGTCGGATTTATGCCGTTCATTTAGTTATTATTCAGGAAGCCATACGATTTTTATGTTCATAACTTGTATTTAACATTTCAACGGCTAAGTAAAAGTATTAATGTCTGGTACCTACCGATAGGGCTATGTCTAGTAATATACGGCGTGGTCTTATAAAAAATTAAATTGTAACAGATTCGGAATGAATTTACACCCAAGGTTAAAATAATTTCATTATTGAAACTGTGATCTTGAGAATAGCCTTATTAAAATATAGGTTTATTTAGGTGCCTGCCTACTGGACCTAATATCAAATAGCTTCTTGTTTTTGAAAATAAAGAAACATATTTTGTTTCTTTTTTAGAAGTCTTTACACAACTTGTATACGTAGATATACCGGTATATACAATATCTAATAGGTAACAATTTATACAAGATTTTTTGTATAAAAATGGAATATATATCAAGTTTATTTAGGTAAAGGCTTATAATAATATTTTTATGAAAAACCGCCCAGTTGCACAGAGGTCCGATAGGTCTAATGGCGAATTTAAGCTCTAATGAAGCCCGTCCGTTTTATTATTAGAACATAATATTTGCCCGTCGTTATTAATGTTCTATAAAAAATATTTTTAGCCTCATACAAGGAGGTTATATATTAGAATGAGTGAATGTTTCCGATATCATTATCCATTAACTGACGTTAATGAATCCTATAGTTTGAAACATTTTTGAAGCTTATCCAAAAGTGGCGCTTTAAATTTTCAACGATTTTGAGCTTTCATAACATTCTAATTTTGAACTAAGTTTAACAAATCTTTTTTTTTATATATCACAACTTAATTTTCTTTTGGCTGTTTGGGTGGATTGCGTGAACATTAATGAAAAATACGCTCACTAGTAGCGAAAAAGGAACAAGTGCTTGAAAATTTCGTCAGTCCTCTTGGGTCTCGGGTGGTTAGAGCAGTCGCGGATTGGGAAAGATCGTGAGTTTGTATCTCATCTCAGGGTGCTTAAAGCTGGTGGATTTTTCAAGCTTTTTTCATTAAAAACATAAAGGTTACGTAAATAATACATATTTAGTAGAGAAAAAAATCATTAAAATCCTTAGTTACCTACTCAGATCGCTATTTAGCCGAATATAGTGATAAACCTATAGGTATATATGCTTTTTGTTTTGTTTTTTTTTTGACGAAGTTTGACGACACCTGTTTTTGTGGGCAATAGAGTTTTTGTAACGATTTAAATGTTTTTATTTTCACACCCGTAGTGCCCACCCACATCGTCACCTTGTCGTTACCAGACGCCTTTTTTATTCTATATCTCTGAAGATGTTTTCTTTAAAAAAGGTGTAAAACCTAACTACAATTATTAACCCTATTGTTATTATAATTATTACCTAACGAAGATAGTGTTATTTTTTTATGTTTATTATATGTACCAACCCATGTCCTACAGACTTTAAAAGTTGTATTTATTATTGTGATAATACATAGGTACTACAATTTTGGTAATGACATGATTGATATAAATGTCATTACTTATGATAAAAAGCTGGTAAGTTTCTTTCGCTTGTTCTTCTTGTCAGCTAAAAGACATCCTGAACAAGTGGTAGGGGAAAAAAATTTATTGGACGATTCAAAGGTTCAAAAAATACAAGCATTAAGCTTACTAGAATAAAGATATTTTCATTTTCATAAAAATTTTGGGCTTTCTGATCAAAATACCGCAACAAGTGGTTTTGGCAGTCCCCACGTGATGTTACTCTGATACTGCCTCAAGAATTCTAAAGAGACCGAAACAGGTGGAAATCTAAATATGCAAGTTCAGGACTATACGACAGATGCATGACATTACCATCCAGCCAAACTCTTTTATTTATTGCTGAGTGGCAAAAGATATGTTAGGTCTAGCGATATCATAATGGAAAATCACATTCTTGCTTTAATCTCATCAGTTGTTCGCAGTAGAGTTCAGAATCGATGGTCCTGCCTTTTGATCCACTTTTTCAAAAATCGCATCCATTTTATCCGTAAAAGGGCGACCGAAGCAACGTGCATCTTTGACGTCAAAATATCCTAACTAAACATTTGTGCTACTCTCACACAAACTGCACTAGGTCAATAAACGTCACAAATTTTTACCTTTTGGTAATCTTAAAATGTATCAAAAATCTTTATTAGATTCACTAATTTTTAACAATAAGAAAACCACATTAAAATCATACCTTTACCCAATTTGAATTCGGATTTATACAAAAATATACAAAAATAGACTTTAATATAAAACAAATTATATTTTTTTTTATAATTGCATTTGTATTGCTTACGTATTTGTTTGAATATTGTATGGGGACGTTAGTTGAAGTACAAAAGCGCATTAAACTGTAATTGAAATGAGAAAACTATATCAAATATCGCGGGGCACCGAAATGTGAAACTTGAAATTATGAAATTTTCTCTATAGAAAAAGCTGCATCTAAAAGGTTCCTACATTCATATTCATACCTTTAATATTTACAAAAGATACTTTAAAAATCTTATTTCAGATAACATCATTAGAAAAAGCCCGAAAAATTGAAGAATTACAGAAGAAATTGGAAGAAGCTGATTTGCTGCGTGCTAGATATAATAGAAAGGTCAACGTCCTTAAAGACCAAGTTCGAGCCACTGGGGAGACCTTTGAACAAGAGAGGACTACAGCCGAACATCAAATAGCAATGCTGAGGGACGATCTAGCTCGAACTAAGGAGATGCTTGTGGAATGTCAGAGAAGAGAAGCACAGTTGCAAAGTTTCAGGTAAAGCTAAATTAGGGCTTCCAATTCTGTAGCCTGTATGCAATCTCGGTATCTGCGAGACTTAGAAATTTCTATCCCGCGGGGTCCCGGTATAAAGCAAATAAAACAATGAATCAACAACAATGAATCAATCAACGCTATAAAAATCGTCAGTATCTCGCATGCGAAAGTCATTTAACCAATGTAACTGAGTCATACGTGCGGTTGCTGCGGTGCAGTCTGTCTGATGATAGCCTGACTCTTAAAGTATATAACTCTTTTACGTACAGCACCGAAGGTATACCTAATAAATAAGTTTTAATTTGCATTTAGAATTGAGGTAAAGTGGGCACACTGTTACAATGCACATATCAAGTTTGTTATAATTTATACCCAACTTGATGAAATCTGTATTTTCGTCGTCACAACGTCCGTTTGTTTTTACAATAGAATTGATATAAAGATAATTAATATAATAAGTACTTTAACATTATCGTTATGCACTTGTCTTGCATAAAATTATTGTGTTTTAGTGCGCACAAATAAAAGCTTGTTTTTTAAAAACTTTTATTATAATACAATTAGAAGTACTTAATATAATTTGAACCACCAATTTTTGTAAAGTATGCGCAATAATTTTAGTTCACAGATTGATAATTTGAAACGTTATTAATTAATACACTTTAGAATAATAGGTATTATTCATCTTAAACGTCAATGCTAAAAAAATCACTCGACCCGGGAAATATAATTAAAGCTATTTAAAAAAGGACCATACTAATCAATCGTTTAACATTTATTTATATTGTCAGTCCATGGTAACTAATCATATTCTACTAGAAATTGCAAACCACGCAACAGAAAAATTTCTATGCTCTGAACAATATCGAGACAGGTTTACCTTTTGGATTTTTTTTTATAACTACTTAAAAATAAATAAAAATAAAAACACAAAACCTTGTATTTCGTGCATGAACACTAGCGAACCAATCACTTTCACAATTCTATGACAGACTATTAGATCTGAATATAATTATTATTCTGTATTTAATTAAAATAGATCTAAACACGTTTTGAATAATTTTAAATATAATTTATAAACTATGAAAACTTAGGCACAAATGCCTTGTTTAGTTTATAGCTGCCTGTAGGTTTTCTGAATAAGCACAATTATAGTTAAAAGTTATAATACTAAGTATTTGAAATGTGTAGCACTAGCTTTTCGCTTTCGTGGTCCTAAGGGCACTCTATAATAGGATAAAAATGTAATTTCATCAAAATCTATTCTATAATTTTTGCATGAAGAGTAACAAACACACATTTAGGTACGTACATCCTCTAAAACTTTCGCATTTATAAATATAAGACTTTTTTCAGGAACTCGATCGCGAAGCTGTTGGGTATATTAGTGCCGGCGTCGGTGTCAGACTTTGAAATGGTGTCACGGCTCCAGAAGCTGATTGATGCTCATCATGACTTCACTGTGGTCTCACGGCGGTACGACGACCCCACCTTACTGAGAGCGTCCTCACGGTCGCCGCCACCGTCGCGGTGTCGCACCAGAACTCCGGACAGGTATATTTTTAAGAGCTAGAAACCGGAAACTGTGACTCTGTCTAATTTAAAAATGTATCACAATTGCTTTGAATTGGACATTTAAGAAATTATCACGAACTTCATGCAACGACTGTTTTGACATGTGAGAACAATTGCGGCCGCGACGTGTTTTTTTGTAAAGATTTTGAATGAACAATAACTTTTTTGACGTTAATCAGAATTGCCTAATCAAAACGATAGTTAAAAATCTCTTTGAAATCTATTCAAGGAATGTCAAATGAAATTAATTGTCTATGATATTTATGTCATTTAAATCATCATTCGTTCCAAAAGCGATTGTGACTTTAAAAGTTAGACAATAGAACGCCCGCCAGCGCGGTGGCATACGGCGATGGCGGTCGCGGCACGGACGGCGCATGATCTTCTATCATGTTGCGGTTTAAGCGTAATGCCAAAAGATTATCTATCACATTGCACGAGAGAACACACAATGAATTTTTACACCGACGCTATCTTTCAGATAAACTTTCTTTCTTATTACTTCCGTTTCTGTTCCGTTACTCCTCAAATTATACGTAATTAATGTAACTCGACTACATTTATTCTAGTTACATGCACTTTCTGACTTTCGCATTGTGTATAGCTAAGCTTTCTTGTTCAAGGTTTTGCGGAAGTTTTTCCAACACTCCATTTGCACTGTTTTCAAAAACCATTCTTGTTTATGTCAATATTGTATCTTATTATGATATCGTATGTTTCAAACTTTGTCGTCTCCGCATTCAATATTTTACAACGCAACTTATCTTAATTATTTTCCGGCAGATCCCTACGATACGACGACTCGGGCTACGCTGATCCCGCATTTGATCTAGACGACGAACTTTACAAGACACGCGCGGCCATGTGACAGTCGCGGAGGAGAACCCGCTTTTAAGGGGTCCTATACAAAATCATACTTCAACTGCTAAATATTTTGAAACTTAATAAAAAAGAAGAAGCTTACTATTCAATGTCAGGAATTAAGGACCGGTTCATTAATTAAGAAAAATACAAAATGTCAACTGATTATTTTTTACTTTTCACAAGGCAAAAAGTCCTAGTTTTTACCAAACTGCTATCAAAAAAACTTGTTTAGAGATGTTTAAGTACAGTTTGAGATATGCTCAACATTAAATACTCAATAATACTCAATTTAGAGACCGGGTGTACGTCGACAAGAACTATTTTATCAATAACGGAAGATAAAAATGAATGGAAACATACAATAAAATCTTTAAATACGCACTGCGAATAAATGAGACATTCGTTATATCATTATTCGTTGAATCTAATAAGTAAGTTATTAACAACTTAATAGTTATTAGAATTGTGGGTAAAATTAGTGGGTGAAACTGTAGGTAAAACCTAAAACATAAAACATCTTACTAATAAATAATACCTAATTTATTTTTGTTATTATTTTATGTTACGCTTTATTTATCAATTATTATCTGCAAACAAAACACTCTTTAAAAAATAGATCAAGTAAAATACTACTATGCATAAATATCTCATTTTTAATACTTAAGTGGTGTGATTGAAACTAATAAATCATATTTATTTGCATGATTGGCATCCACTCTATTCATGTGTTCATATTAGCATAGATAATTAAATAAACTACTATTAAAATTGATAAACACTGTGATGCGAGTTTTTGTTTGTTTTTTTTTTTACAGCGTCATTAGATTTTTTGTGCACAGTCTTCCTGTCTTCTAAGGTTGTCAAATTGTTTTGTTTGTTTGTGACTTTTGTTGTTATGTTTGGCTATATTATTATTATTATGTGATTTTATCTATAAATCAAAACTCATTTTAAATAAGGTAATTTTAGCATAGATAATATTTTATTATTAGGCAACATATATTTTAAGAAAAATAGAATATCCTATGAATAACATTGTTGGTACATTAAGGTCTACTTTATTAAACCAAAAAAATGGAAATTCGTCTATTCTCGAAATGCTGATGTGACTCCAAAGATTTTCTTGATAATTTATAATGCAAAGATAATTTAAAATATAAAATTACAAATAGAGTAGGCTCATTTATTTAGTTATCATATAGAATACGATATTATGTCTCTAATAAGATATGTTCTAAAGATTACAATTTATCAACATGAATAATATAATTAAATATGAAAGTAATATATGTAATACTATTTTAAACGCTATAATAATGAACATTCAAGACGCACAAGAAAGACGAAACTAGTAAAGAATAATTATAATAACTATTTAAAGTAAAATTTAAACTATAGTACGTAGATTTGTCTTTGTGTAATTAGAATTGTTGCATTGTTGATACAATGTTGCTACTTAAATAGAAAATATTGATCTCAGGCAAATATAAAGAAAGTCATTGGTCTCAGGTTACCCCGGTAAGGCATGCTTATAAAATTAAAAATAATGTTAGAGGATCAGGATAAAAGTTATTTTTAAATTTATCTCCATTACAACAAAATTCTACATAAAATGCAATCAAAACTTATCTAATTGTAATGTGTTGTTATGTGTAGCTATACAACAGTCGACAATACGTGAGGTTATACAAATCTATTATGTTAAGCCGCACCTAATTCATTAAAAGTTCGTTCAAAATCAATTAAGCAAATTAAGCAAATATTGTGCACGTAAGATTTTTTTTTTTACTTTTAAAGATTTATTTTAATTATATATTACAGTGTTGTTAATAAACAAGGTTTAGCGTTGGCGTAAATTTACACTGAGACTACACTTAGTATTAGTCAAAATTCATATTATTAAACAGAGACTCAGCAAAGGTTAACTTAGTACGAGGTTCTACGGGAGTATTAATTAAAAAAGCTAGTAGGTTTACTTTTTCTCTGTATAATATGAGTTTGGTCTGATACTAAAATTGCAATTTTAGCGTTAATTTACTCTAGCGACAGAGTAAATTTAGACTCACAGTGCTATTAATAACCTTGTTTATTTTTTCGCAGGATTGCTATAAATTATCATTCTATCGTAAATTACCATAAAAGTGTAAAACAATATATTATCTTAACTCTTACTCTTAACATTCTAAATAAACATACTCGTATAAGAATCACGTGTACCTATTATATATGTTCAAAATGTGTTCACTTGTTTGTAGATACAATTAAGTCGAATGAAAATTGTTATAGCATAGTATGTAACCTATAATTACACGGATAATCCTACTGACATATCAATATATATTAAATATACGAACCTAATTGTTTTGTCGTTTTTTTAATACTAGTTAATTCGGCGGCATAAAATCAAAACAGGTTTTAAGCATGGCTTTAGATATTTGAATGAGTAAAACAACTTTAATTCTTTTCAGATCTTATCTATAAGAAACCTATATATAATACCTAAGTGTTACTGATAAAATAATCAAGTTAAAGTAACTAAAATTAACAATTTAAATATGTCGTCTCTTATTTAATTTATATCCGAATTTAAAGGCAAGCTTTGAAACTCACTAAAAGATATTTTTTGTATAAAAAGAAATAAATTGACTTTCATAATTTACTTAAAAACTTAAAGGTAAGATACAGCTTATAATTATATTTCTTTGCAATAAATAAAGCCATAATTAAGAATTCCTAGGA